GGCCCTCTTGCTGGCTGCCCTGCTGGGCTGAAGCTTGTGGCCCCCACTGGCTGCCCTCTGGGGCTGAAGCTGGTGGCCCTCACTGTCTGCCTTGGGGGTTGAAGCTGGTGGCCCTCACTGTCTGCCTTGGGGGTTGAAGCTGGTGGCCCTCACTGGCTGCCTTGGGGGCTGAAGCTGGTGGCCTCCACTGGCTGCCCTCTGGGGCTGAAGCTGGTGGCCCCCACTGGCTGCCTTGGGGGCTGAAGCTGGTGGCCCTCACTGGCTGCCCTCTGGGGCTGAAGCTGGTGGCCCTCACTGTCTGCCTTGGGGGTTGAAGCTGGTGGCCCCCACTGGCTGCCTTGGGGGCTGAAGCTGGTGGCCCCCACTGGCTGCCTTTGGGGTTGAAGCTGGTGGCCCCCACTGGCTGCCCTCTGGGGCTGAAGCTGGTGGCCCCCACTGGCTGCCCTCTGGGGCTGAAGCTGGTGGCCCTCACTGGCTGCCTTTGGGGTTGAAGCTGGTGGCCCCCACTGGCTGCCTTTGGGGTTGAAGCTGGTGGCCCCCACTGGCTGCCCTCTGGGGCTGAAGCTGGTGGCCCCCACTGGCTGCCTTGGGGGCTGAAGCTGGTGGCCCCCACTGGCTGCCCTCTGGGGCTGAAGCTGGTGGCCCTCACTGGCTGCCTTTGGGGTTGAAGCTGGTGGCCCCCACTGGCTGCCCTCTGGGGCTGAAGCTGGTGGAGACTGCGTTGTCAGACTCCAGCTTCTGCCTGCACTTGCTCGCACAGCTGTGGAAGACCACTAGCATCTGTGGTGGTCCAGGTTTATTAGGATGGGGTTGGCTCCTTAAAAACAGTATTGGAAACTCCCAACTTCTTCCTAAAAGCAGCACACTGGATACCTGCGGCCAGCTCAGCCGTTCCTAAGACATCTTTGTGGAGGACTCAGTGCAGGGTGTTGATGCTATCTATGCACACGAAAATATCCCCTAGACAGAAAGAGTGTGGAAGGGAGGATTCTGAGTTTTGACTGACATGGAACTACTCAGAGAAGAAACGAAGCTAAGGAGGAAGACAATAGGGCTCTCATTCCTCAGTTAGTGGCTGCAAGTCCCCAGCCTGCTTGTTCCCAGGATTGCTCCCCAGACTACTACCTGGATATTTAAGCACTGTATTTGGGGGTAGAGGGGCTGGAGAAGAGCAGCTGCTGAGTGCTTGCTTGGCTTCCTGGGGAAAAAGTGAAAGGGTTCATTCAGGCTTTCCTGTCTTTGGTCCTAGGGCCTCCAGCTCTAGGGGAGTTAGCCACTCTCTGGAATGTCCCTCGGAAGTGGGAGAGAGGCATCCCACCCCCACAGCCACCTCTTTCAGATCAGTGGAGGAAAATGGAATTGAGATATGGGCTTAAAGGAACCCTAAATGTAAGGTAGTCATCCGCTAGAGGAAAGGCCGTCTGGGGAAGGCATCCAGAACTAGCCTCACAGATGAATGAGGTGATGCGCGGGAAGGGGCGCAGCGGAGAGGCAGTGCATGGCTGCGATTAACAATGGCAGTGATGACGATGATGGTAGCAGGAGGCCCAGGTAGCATCAGTGAACGTTGTTTGCTCCACGGCATCAGCCTGAGCCCCAGGTAGCATCAGTGAACGTTGTTTGCTCCACGGCATTAGCCTGAGCCCCAGGTAGCATCAGTGAACGTTTGATCCACGGCGGCCCCCTTCCAAGCTCTTCCCTCCTGCACTGTGCCGAGCCTATCTCGAGTTATATCTCTATCACCCCCGTTCTTTTTTTTTATAATTTTTTATTAGATTTATTCATTTTATATTACGTGTTTTGCCTTCATATATGCATGCACCCAAAGATACAGCTGTGTCAGGCTTCTATAGGCAGGTCTTCACATGCTAGAGACCCACAGATTGATGCCAGTGAAGGTCTTCCTGCCAGTGTGTTCATCCTGCCCTGCCTAGAACACATTCCACACATGTTCAAAAGTGTGCTCGCAGATGGCCAATACCGTGCAGCCCTGAGTTCGGGTTCTGCCATTTTACACGCTTCTGTAGCTTTTCTCACCTGCCCCCATAGGAGTAAGCTCAGAGGACTGAAAAGCTGGCTTCGCATGGGCTACCATTGCCTACTTACTTCATTGATTATTCATCAGGTTTTGACAAATATCTCTTATGTGCAACCTGTTCTTTCAAATGGATATTTAAGGATTTCTGGGGCCAGAGATGCAGCTTGCCTAGCAGGTACGAAGTCCTGGATGTAATTCCCAGCACCCTGTACGCTAGGTGTTGTGGCTCAGGTCTGTAATTTCAGCACTTGGGAGGTCTAGGTGGAAGATCAGGAATCAAGGTCACTGCAGCCACAAGTACCTGGTGAATCGAGGCTATGAGACACTGTCGCAACAAACCAGAAAGGGGAGGGGGCTTGTGGAGGAAGAAAAACATAAAACCAAGAAAAATCATTGATTTACTGTTTATACCAGTTTAACGGTATGATATATGGGCCAAGACCATGACCACAACTTCTCTCCAAAGGTGATTTCAGAATCTCCAGTCTTCCCCCTCCTCCCCACTCTTGTATATTAATGACAGTTTCTTGTGGTTCATCTCTGCTTACTTCCATCATTTTTTAAGCTTCAATTTTTAATTATTTTTTTTAGATTGTACAAAGTGCAATGAGTATCATACAGCGTTTTTCATGAATGTGTGTGTTTATTTTTTTATTTATATGTTGATTTTTTTTGAGACAGGATTTCTTTGTGTAGCTATGGCTGTTCTGGAACTAGCTTTGTAGACCAGGCTGGCCTCGAGCTAACTCTGTAGACCAGGCTGGGCTCAAACTCACAGATCTGCCTGCCTCTGCCACCCGAGTGCTGGGGTCAAGCATGTGTCCTACCACGTCCGGCTGCACGTGTGTGCCTTTATACGTTGTTCCTAATTAATTCCCTCATCCACTACTTCAACAGTTTCTAACCATTAATTTAGAAAAATAAGAATTTTGTCACTCAGTCACCAAAGGCTAATAAATGACATTTCTGTATACCCCAGTCCTCACCGAGCTTTGAACAAGTCAGTGAGTGAAGACTAGAGAAAAATAGGAAAGATCTGTGATGGAAATAAAAATCTTATTTTAGAATCAAAATCCCGTGTTGAAAAAAAAAAGAAGAAGAAAGAAATTGCTCAAAAAAAGAACTTGAAGGGGGCTCAGTTCTGGTCCCACCATGGCCTCAAACCATGTCCTCCCTGCGAGCCTCACAGATGGGACTAGTCCACTCGTATTGTCTACTTCTAACCTTTAGTGTTACGTAGGTGTGTGGAGAACCTTCATGGTCTCCAGCCTTGTTCACAGTACACACCATTTCCTTCCTGAGAAATAGCTGGGCCCATGGCCAAGGCCCTATTCCTCTCTGAGTCTCCCTACAGCCAGTCAGCTGTGGGGGTGTGGGACATGCCTGGCCGCATCCTGCCTGTCACAGAGGGGTTTTTACAGGCCAGTCCGTTGTACAGAGAGCAAGTTCTTCCAAGGTCGAGCCTATCCACATGAGGTATTTCAATACGCAATCTGTTATTATTGCTGTGGCATCCAGGAATCAGGAAAGATGAGGAACGGATCTTAGTGTACACTGTATTCAAACTCAAGGAGTGGAAAGAGGCCTGAGAACTGTCTAGGGACCCACTTCATTTAGAGGTGAAGACATGAACACCAAGAGCGAGCATGGCAGTGAACACACCCAAACCCACCACAAGGGTCCTAGTCAGGACCCAAGGTGTGCTGGCTCCCAGCCCTGCATCTTCACAACCTTCGGTGTGTGGCTACAGAGAATAAGGCATATGTGCAGCAGGGTTTGCTCTGGGCCAGGGAAAGACAATGACCCCACAAAGTCATTCTGTAGAGGTTGAGTGTAAGCACTGTGCAGATGAAAATGCCCAAACCAGATGATCCTCAAAAACTGCAGCCCCTGACTCCAAATGGTCAACTTTGAGAGACCCTGCGAGCCCACTGGTGTGAGAGGTGGTGGAGGAACCCCAAGACAGGTCGTGGCTGGACAGAGGGTGCTGTGATCCACCACATTTCCCTTCTTCCCACCTTTGCCGCAGCCGTGCAGGCTAACAGATTTGTGAGCTCGGGTTCTTCCCTCCAGGACTTTTATTGCCAATTTGTTTAATTCTTCAGCAAAGATTAATCTAATTACCCAAATTAAGGCGCAGGAGGGCCAGAGGGGACTTAGGATTTCAGGAACAACTTGTGTGAGTTTGAGATTTCTTTCCCGGAACTGTGTACAAAGCTGTCAGGGACTTTTCCAGAGATGCTTACTTTGATCCAACCTGTTACAGCTGTGTCTCAGAATGCAGCTTCTTGCATCTGTCCTGCTCAGGGTCTGCTTCCTATCTGTCTCTGCCCCGACCTTTAGAATTTCCTGTAGAACCGCAGGAAGCTCCCAAATTCATGCACTGGTACTGTGGGTTCTGTGTCAGGCCTTTGCGTTTTTCTGTGTGTTGTGTTCTCCAAACTTCTGTGAGCTTAAAGAGGCTACCCCTGGGATGTGTCCACAGACTCTCTCTACAGTCCCAGGAAGAGGCAGATACTGAGTCTCTCCTGGCCCTCAAAGGCTCTCAGATTCACCCTTCCTACACCGTCACCACAGACTTCCATACTGCTCCTGTCCTGGGGAATTCATCCTAACAGTTTTGCCCTGGAGATCCGGGTTGCTTTCAGGGGATCACGTTGGTTTTGCGATTGATCAGGTAACACCTGCTACTCCCGTGGAAGCGGTTTTGCGGACGGATAGAAATACCTCCCTTGAGAACCCCAGGGTTAGCTTAGCATGCCATCTGATACAGAAGTCCGACTGTAGTCATCGTTAGTTGGCATTGACGCCAACATCAGAGCAAATGTCAGAGGCGGTGGAGCTGCTAACCCTGCCAGGAGAGGCCTGCTCTATGCCTGCTGCATCCACGAGTGTGTGTGACCGTGGGATCCACTGGCCCCAGATTCTGTGCTGAATTCTGTTCTTTCTCCCCCTCCCGCAGAGAGAAGACACAGTTCAATGTGCAGGCCTTCTCCCTCTCCGGCGTCTCCAGCCTCCAATGCCCGGACATCATTAGCACAGGCAAAGACAAAAGCCTGTCTCAGCGGCCATAACGCTGTCAGCAGCACCTCTAAGCCATTTAAAACGCCCAAAGACAATCTACTTACCTCCAGCAGCAAACAGCACACAGTCTTCTCTGCAAAGGGGCCAAGGGATAAACCATGGTGAGTCGGGGTGTCGGGTGCCGAGACTGTCTGGCCCATGCTCTGGGCTCTGGGGACCGAGGAAGGAACTCAGAACGGTGAGGAAGCTAACGACTAGACTGTAGTAACTAGAGAGGGAGCATGGGACCTTGAAAGTGTTGTCTGCCTGGACAGAGGAATATTTGTACACTTGAGAGCTGAGCTGTACTGTGTCTAAGGCAAAGGAAAGAGGGAAAGATTCCTCAGTTACATGGTTGCCTCTCAATTTTCTGCCCCAGTGAAGAGAACCGCCGGTGTAAACCGCCTATGCACAGGCTGTTATGGGGAAAGAGAGAGGCTGTGATGGTGCCCCAGCCCTGGAAGCAGAATCCCCACCCCCACAGGGCCTCTGTCCCCAGCCCCCCAAGGACAGTGCGAATCTTAGAAAGGGAGGAGTAGGGGAAAGGAAAAATAAAGGGAAAATCGTGCTTCTGATGGGGAGCCTTTACCAGAAAGCAACGAAAGGTTCCCCCTGGACTAGACAAATTGGAAACCGTCCTGAAAATATGAAGGATGGACACAGTACCCTTGGTCTGGCTTGTCACAGGGCCGTCCACTTTATCTTTATCCTGAAGATGGAGAAGGGACAAGTGTCTCATTTATATATTTAAAGAGAAACAGTGTTGGTTAATTAACGGTAGTTAATTGCACTTAACGTCCTACCCAGCAAAACTGTGGAACACAGTCATCCATCAATCGGGTGGTGGCTGTGCGCTGGAAATTTTGAAACTTGTAAGGAGCTAATTATGCCAACTCAGTGAAGGAGCCTCAGGTGATGGGGGAAGGGAGGATGGAAAGGGGGCGTGGCTGCACGCCGCCCTGCCTTGTGAACTGGCCGTGTTCTTTGTGGGCTGCTGGAGGGAGCAAGCGTAGATCTGTCCTGGGGAGGGTACAGTTGCTTAGGAGAGACCTGGCCTGAGAGTGACAGTTGGCGACCTCTGATTGGCAGTGTCCTGCTCCCCGGCCCTCCTCCCAGTGCCCCCAGAGAGCAGTGGCCTCCTCTGCTGAGGGATTACTGAGCAGGTGTCTCTGCTGAGTCACCTTGAGTGTCCTTTCAACGTCTGGTGCCTCAGTTTCTGGTACTGTAGCATGAGTTTAGTTATAGACTAGCTCTGCCCCGTGGGGTGCTGCGAGGACCCAGTGAGCATCTTTGTACACAGCAGCAAACACAATGTCTGGGCCACTGTCGGTGTTATTTCATTCCTGCCAAAGTCTCCTCACCTGGGATTAAGATTGTGCTGCAGAATCGGAGAAATGGCTCTTCGGAGACAGGCACGGCAGTGTACGTGTATGATCCCAGCATTTGTGGGCCAAGGCTAGAGGACTGTTGGAGGGGGGGTGTTCAGGGGCTATCCTAGATTATGTAGTGAGACCCTATTGAAAAAACAAAAAGACAGCGATCCAAGGGAAACATGAAAATGGTAAAATAATTTGTTTGGGCTGAGGGGGGTGTTGCTTGGTTGTAAAGCATTTACCTAGCATGAGTGGGGTCCCCAGCACTGCAGAAGCAAATAGAGAAGAGTTTCTGAGTCTGGGAATGACCTACGGACAAACGTAAGGAAGGCAAGGGTCCCCACCCCCTCCGTGAGATAAGTGAGCCCACCTTTCGAAGGAGCCGCTGAGACTGCTGAGTTAGCTCAGTTTCCTTGTCCAGCACACCAGGACCTGCCATGCATGGCATTAGGCACCTTTAGCCAGGGGCAGGAAGTGGCAGCAAGAGTGTGCGCCACAAAGTTGCTACGCTAGCTTGCGCAGCACGAGCCGTGTGGTTCAGTAATGGCCATCCTACACCCTGGAGAGGCTGCAAATCCAGCAGCTTCTCAGTCTGAAAGGCTGGAGGCCTCAGCAGTCCCAGCCTCGCACCGGAGGCCTGGGGAATTCACGGAGAGAGCCACCAGTCTTCAGGAGACATGGGAAGGCGGGAGAAACTGGATTCCCATGTTGGTGGGAGATGACAGCCATAGTTGACAGAGGCAGAGAAGACACACCCACCAGCAGGGGCGAAGGTGAGCGGGTGGAAAACAACAGGTATGGCCTGGAAGGAACCCAGCCCTGAACTAGAGGCAAGAAAAGTGAGTTCGAAGCCAGACTCTACCCTGGACTTGCTGTGTGTCCTCAAGGAAGTCACTTGGCATCCCTTTGTCTCATTTGAAGCCCGATTTCTAAATCACAGCCCTCTCAAGCTCCCCATTGCCTGCTAAGTCTGAGTGAGCTCAAAACAGGCAGTAACTCACTGAGGCTTCTCCCAGCCCCCTAAGTAGGTGTATTAAATGCACGTTGGGACTAGAGAGATGGCTAGCAGCTAAAAAGAGCCAACTTTAATTCCCAGCAACCACGTGTCAGCTAACAATCAGCGGATCTGATGCCCTCTCCTGGCTTCTGCAGGCACCAGGCCCACACACGGCACACAGACATACACACAGGAAAAACAACACCCACATAAGGTAAAATTTAAACATGTATGTTGGCTTTCAAAACTTTTTCTTACATGCTGAAAATTGCATTACCCCTGGTAAGCTGAGGAATGGCTTCATCTGGTGTCCTCTTTTGAGTCCTCAGCCTGGCTTGGATGCCCTTCTCCTGTTCTGTTCATATTTAGCATTGGGTCCTGAAGGCTACAGCATACAGTTGTCCAGGTTGTGAACTGCATCAGCATGGCTAGGGGTGAAGATTGTCAGTCTATTGGGACCCTGAACTGCAGGCCTTTGTTCCCAGCTTGTATAAAGCTCTATATGTAACATTAGTGGGACCTGTGCACCCCCAGTTCTTCTTATAGTGGCCACATAGTTATTATTCTAGGTGCCCATTAAATACTGAGTAAAGACAGAGGCATGTTCTAGTGTCAGGGGAAGAGAGAGCGGGGTGGGGGGGGATCGTGGTAATAGATAGTAATGGGTCATCAGAATTGAAAGAGGGAGTTTGGGTCCAGCTCACTCTTAATTTAGTAGGCAATAAGGAAGTTGAGAAATTCTGAGAAGGGTGTGGTTTAGAATCACAAACTTCACCAACTGTTTAGCCTTGAAAATGAGATCATACATGCTGAGTGACTAGCTCAAAGTCACACACACGATTTGTGCAGAGTGTGGCTTTGAACTTGCTTTTCTTTCTGGAGAGCTAAATTCAGATTCCCCTCATCCACATAAGAAAAGGGTGGTAGCAGGGGCCTGGGGGTGACTCTGTTGTAAAAGGCCTGACCCACGAGGACCTAAGTTCACATTCCCAGAGCTCACATACAAGTCAGGGACAGCAGTGTGTTTCTGGCGACGGGCTGACGGGCTGGACAGACAGACCCCTGAAACCCGCTGACCAGCCAATCTACTCAAACCAATGAGCGTCTGTTTCTCTAAGAAGCCCATCTCAAAAACTACATTGGAAGTCAGTCAAGGAAGACACTCAGCTCCGCGCTCTGTGTCTGTGTACACTCACAAACACATGTACACATTCACACAAACACACAAACATACCACACACATGCACACATACACAAGAAAAAAAATGACCTTCTCAGATCATGTCAATCAATTTAATTTGGGCAAAGTCTCTAAAAGAAGGAGCCTACTTTATGTATGGTCAGTGGTGGGTCTGATTCGTTGCAGCAGCCCAGTGCCCGGGGCCCAGCGCCCTAAGGGAATAGTGTACCACATATGCATAGCCCGGGGAATGCTCCAAATTCCAAGTTTGGTTTCTGGGCTGGCTGTGCAGCTCCATGGTGGAGCTCGTGCCTCCCATGCGTAGGGGCCTGGGTGGAGCGGACCATGTAGAGATGACCTGGAGAATGAAAAGAATAGTCTTCAGTTGCATAGTCTCCCTAGCAGCATCAAGGAAGACTAGAGGAGCATTCTCGAAGCATTGAGAAAAGTGAGGGTATTTTTATACAGTCCAGGTGAGGTATGGAGAGGGCCTAGACTCCAGGAAGGGGTGGTGGCACCCTCAAGACTTAGCATGGGTGCCTTTGGAGAGGTCTGAGACATACCTGCAAAGAAGTATCATCCTGGGGTTCAGGAGAGAGGTCGGGGCGGAACAGAAGTTGAGATTCGTTCTTGTAGACAGGACATTGACATCATGGTATAGATGGGACCTCCTGGAAAGGAGTGCGGCATGAGAAGAACAAAGGGCAAAGGCGGGCCCTTTAGAATGTGACAGGAAGAGGAGCCCTGGGAACAGGGACTGCTAATCCTGCTGTTCCTTCTCTGCATCCAGCACCCCCCATCTTCCTGGTCCAAATCGTCACCATTCTTAACGCCCCATTTCACTGGTCACCTTGTTCTCAGTTCTTTCTCATTTACTCCCTCCTGGCCAACAACCCGATACCCTGGCACCCTGCTCTCGGCCTGTGGCATCTCGTTTTTGCCTGTGATGTCCTCGCCCCACGATGCTCTCTGTGTCTGGTCCACGATACATTCTGCTTCCTTTATTCCTCCTGCTCAGGGGTGGCACGGTGGCTCCAGCATGGTGTCCCCAGCACGGTGTCCCCAGCATGGTGTCCCCAGCATGGGGTGTCCCCAGCATGGTGTCCCCAGCACGGGGTGTCCCCAACATGGTGTCCCCAGCACAGTGTCCCCAGCACAGTGGCTCGTTGGCAGTTGTGCAATCCAGGAACTGCCATCACTAGCACTTGTTGAACTGAATGTCAGACAGAACCAAAGAGGTCTGCTGAAGGGGACGGTATGAGCTCCTGGAGGCAGTAGCCTTCTGTATAAAGCATTTGGACTAGCAGTGTCCAGTGTAAAAACCGTGTGTGTCCACACGTCCCACTCTAAACTCACAGCCACCTTGAAAAAAGCGAAAAGCAACATGGAGTTAATTTTCAGCAGTATATTTTCTTTAACCCAATACCGCCACATGTCATCATTTCAACACGTGATTAGTAAGTTAGTCCATGTTCTCTTGGTTCTGATCCGCCTCAATGTCATCATTTCAACACGTGATTAGTAAGTTAGTCCATGTTCTCTTGGTTCTGATCCGCCTCAATGTCATCATTT